CGGGAGTTTACGGGGGTTTACGGGGACGAAAATCTCACTTTTCATGCAGTGATCTTTTGCTAGACTTGGACTTAGTTCTTTGAAGGAACTTCCTTTGCATAGCTTCAGCTGACAGCTCTATTGTTGAGACAATGCTTTCCATCAGTCGTCAATATGAAACAGTTCTTTGCACTCTCTTTAAACTACAGATTCAGTTACATAAGATTTTGGCACCATTAAGCTTTAGATTTGCAAACACAAGGGAACATTAATATACAAGCACATGTATATTAAAATGTATTCGTATTAGAATCTATCTATCTATCTATCTGCAAACACAAGGGAACATTAATATACAAGCACATGTATATTAAAATGTATTCGTATTAGAATCTATCTATCTATCGTGTATATGTGTATATATATATATATATATATATATATATATATATATATATATATATATATATATATATATATAGATCGTAGATCCTTTTGTTTGTATCGTCTGTGTGAAATTTAGTATTACACAGTTTTTTTATTGCAAAAAAAGAATATACATGAACAATATAGAACATTAATAATTACAAACAACAAAGGACTTTACAGAACATAACTATTATTTTAAAATGTCAAAATCTAATCTATGCATGAGGGTTATAATAATTCTTTAAGGGCAGTTATATTGCATGGCTTTAGCATTTGAACTAAACTTTGGGATTCTATATAGATATCAATAGAAGATAATAAAATCTGGAAATTAGTTTTTTGTTGTAAATATTTGGAGGTGTGAATATGATATTTACCATAAATAATGAAATAAAGTATTACATATAAAAATCCTGTTTTGACAAGTTCACATTTCTCTCTCCCAAACAAGTAACGATGAATAAGCTTTTCTTCATTATTTTTTAACAAAAAGTTTACATTGGGTCCAAATCTCATTTATATCTTTTTATCAAAATGCTTTAACATGATAAACATTATGAATAATTTTATAAGAAATTTCTCTTACGGGTATTGCTGATGAAGGTTCTCAGTCATCCAGGTCATAGTCATAAAAAAAAATCTTACAGGTATTGTTTATTAAGTATTTTTTTAAGGAGCAACCAAGTCCACTTCACATTTATATTTATAAGTGTTGGACCAATAAAATATACAAGCTGGTGAAAAAATAACATCTCGTAATAGAATATTTCTTAACCTTTTGTTTGTTGTTTTCTTACTTAGTTTTACACAGTTTTCCCCATTAGTTTTTGCGCCCTTACGTCCACGTGTCCCCAATGTTTGAAGACGTCACTTCCTTAGCAACCGGGAACCCGGAAGTACTTCAGCCTACTTCAGCTAACTAGCTTTGGTTTGTTGTGGGACCAAAAAAAAAAGTCTGAAAAGAAAGTTTCTTAATGAAATGATGAGAAGAGGCTACTGTTCGGGTGTTTATGCTCATTGTCTGGTAAACTGAAGGGTAGGAACCAGCTGTCTCGCAGATATGAGAGGAGGAAGAACTGTAAGTCGGAAGGATCTTGTTGTTGTGTTAGCAAGCTTTTGGCTAACTCGCTACAGTAAGAACAACTTGTCAAAGTTTGAAAAAACATATAGTTTATTTTTACCCTAAATGCCAGAATGTAGCGCAAAAACCGGCAGTCGGTATGACGACACATCGTGTATGTGTTTGAAACATTAACAGCTCATAAACGTCCCGATAAAATGCATTTATGTCTGAAAATATGTGTTTTTAGATTTTATTTAGCAAATTATAAGTGTATATTTTAACTGGATCCGTCAAATACAGATTAAGATTGTTTTAATTATTTTGAAGACCATTTACACTGAATATTTGAAGCAAATAAAAGTTGAGATTGTCAATCCCCATATCTTCTTTCAAAGGCTCAGTGCAACATCAGCAATGCTGCAAAATGCTATTTTTGCTCATGTTTTTAGAGAAATATTGCTTCTTCGCAGGTATGCTTCAGAAATGATTCTGTTAAGGCTCCGTGACAGAAAATGGTAGGCTTGTGAAGTTATGCCGAGGTTATGGAAAGTTCAATTAATTGTGCTGAAGAGCAGCAGCCTTCATCTGTGACCACAAACTCCCAACAGGAAGCTTGCAGGAGTCAAATGCTAAAATGTTCTGGTGGATTTGTTCTGGTGCATGCTGGTAAGTTCCCTCATCATCATCATAATATCTCCAAAGGTCTTTTACATGCTGTAATTTGCATATTTTTTCATTCACTTAACAACTCTTCTACTATTTTTTTTTTTGTCCCTCCTATTTGATGAATTTTATTTTAATTATGCTCATACATAGTTTTTTTTGCACCCCATTTTTTGTTAAATTATCTTGTTTTTTATGTTTTAATGCATGATGTCCCTAAGCTGTGACACAGTTAATTGATCTCCCTATAATAATGAGATTTTTCTTTATATTTTTCTATTCCTGGCTTTCAGGAGCAGGATACCACTCTGAATCTAAGGCAAAGGAGTATAAACATGTGTGTAAAAGAGCCTGCCAGCGGGTAAGTTTACTTTGAAAGGCTTAAATGGTTTTTTAATCAAATGAGATTGTTAAAGATAGGCTCTGCGTAAGCACCCTGATGCTCTTTTCTCTCCAGTTCTTTTCCCTAAAAAGTGATCACGTGGGAAAAACTTTAAATAACCTTTCATAACTTATATGTATTAAATAACCGAATGGCAGCTGCTCACCTCTGGGCTCACCTCCCAGGAAATGGCCCCGGTTTATAGTTAAAAGGACATGTTATACATCTCCAGTCTGCCATATCATCATATTTGACATCATTCATGTTAGCAGATAATTTAGACATCCATGGCTCCAGCCTTATCAAAATAGGACACCGCTCTCAGCCCATTTCCAAATCTTTGCCACGTACAAAATGAAGATTATAAGTGTATATCCAGACAGAGGTATTGTCCTAATTAGATTAAAACATCAGTTCTGATGCGCAACAGGCAGCCCGTGCCAGGGTGTGATAAACTCCCACATCTTCAATGATAATTATCCTAACAATTCCCCCTGAAAAGGTGACGTTTTCAATGTCACCTTTAAACAAACCCATTAATGTTTGCTCATGACCAGGATATTAATCATAGAAGAAAACTTTAAATGCTCTTTTTATCAACATCATAGAATCATTGAATTAACAATCAACAGCGCCTCTGAGGATGTATCATTAATCAGGGATCAAAGGTAATCATAATCAAAACTTTACAGACCAAATGTTGTCACTCAAGACCACAGTTTCAGCATTTGCAACATTTAAAATAATGTCAAGAAGTACAGGTGAACAATAATTCATTATTAATACAGACAGCATTATAATTGTATTTAATTTATTTTAGTTCAAGCTTACTTTAGCATCAGGCTTTAATGAAACAAATATAATTTTGTTACTGAGACAGACAGCTTGATGATTGTGCTGGTCACCAATTCTCCTTTTTCATGCTTGTCATTTCTGTTGAGACTTTGTGCAGGTAACAATTTCTATAGGTGATGAAATTCCTGAATATGAACATGCACTTAAAGGGGAATGAGAGCCTGAGAGGGAGAGAAATTACGGCAGGTCAACCATGATCTAAGTTTTCACTCACAATTAAAATGATCTGACTATAGAGGTTATGCTAAAGATCAGACCACAATTCAGCAATCATTGAAAATTATCCAGCCTATTTTTTTTAATTCAGACATTTCAGAAATGGAATCTTGAATTATAGAACAGTGATCCTTAAATATTTGCCTAAGGTTATGATAGTGTCAAAATTCCATAGCCTTGGCCCACCAACTACTAAGTCATAAAGGTAAAGTATAATCAGTTGTCATTTGGAAGTTAAGCAATAAAGCATTATTTTCCCCAGTGTGCTTTTATCAGATGCTTTAAACTCTCTCACTTATATAACATATTTTCTGTGCAACTAAAGGATTTGCTTGGACTGTGCTACTTGCATGCTTTCTTGTTTTTGTTGTGAGAGCATTCTGGGGCAAAGTTATGTCCGTCATTTAAAGAGTATAAGAGAATTTCCAATAATGGAATTCTGTTAAGATTGATATGTCTGCCATGCCTTCCATCCAGGCAATTCTTGGAAATACAAACCAAACATAGCTGTTTCTTTGCATATTCTCCATTAGTTAGGGTCATGATGTTACACACGCTGAATGGGTGCAGTGGGAACTGTCCATTGTCCTTAATTGTTGTCTTTTTCAGGCTGTGGACCAGCTGAGAGCAGGGGCACTTGCTATGGAGGCCGTGACCGCTGCGCTTGTAGAACTAGAGGTTGGTTGGAAAAAAAGTATTTTATTGTAAAAAAAAAAAAAAAATTATGCTTGATTTACAAATGTTCAAAATGGCACGTTTAATGTTGAGTTTTTATTAGCAGATTTCAAAAAGGGTGAACGCTGTTGGCATATTTTCTTAGAAAAGAAAATGATTTTCTTGATACGATTTTTTTTTTTAAATATTTACTACTTCTGCTTATTTTAATTGCTGTCAGGATTCTCCTTTTACAAACGCTGGCATGGGCTCCAACCTGAATCTGTCGGGGGAAATCGAGTGCGATGCAAGCATCATGGATGGGAAGTCGCTTCATTTTGGTGCAGTCGGAGCCATTAGTGGTGAGTTTTGCATTTCTGCACTTAAATGATGATATGTGTTTGATATATTCTAATATCCCACAGCAACTGCAGCAGTTTATACTGTTTTGCTGCTTCTGGGTTTTAACATTGATGTTACATTTTTAGTACAACTGATTACCTTTGACTGTTAATAAACCAGTATTCACTCAGCTTTGTTTCCTTCTGAATTTTGACTACAGGATTTTTTTTGGACCAAAACTTCTAATTAATTCCAAACTACAGTGAATCTAAAATTTAGCTCGGAAGACAACAGATTGTTTTCATTACGTCTTGCATGATGTCAACTAACTCATTATTAAATGATTATTTGTTTTACCAGCGAATACTTGCCAGCATGTGTGTTTCATAAGGATTCAGATTTCAGCAAGATGTGTTTTAGAAAGACCGCTACCTTTATAGCCTTCACAGGTGTTCAAGTGGAACAATGGGGACAAAATGTGCAATTCAACACATCTGCTAATGCGTTTTTGAGGATTTCTTATGACACGTATTTAAATTTATTCTGTACCTTGTGTGCTTTTGTACTTTTGCTTCTACTTTGATTTATATTCCCTGCCAAGGCTGTTCGCACCCCTGAAACGTTTTTTTTTTTTATTATTATTCTGTTACGTTACAAGCAAACTTCAAATATTTTATGGGGATGTGAAAAAGAGCTGACAGATTGGATAGTGTTAGAAGATACTTTTTCTTTTTAATTTTCTCAGCTATTCTCTATTCAAGTTTAAACCAGGCCTGGGTTGGGGCATTGAGAAAAATAGATATGTTTTGATCAGAACAAATAATTTATTGTCCTCAGCTAAATGTTTAGAGTTCTTTTTGCAGAAGAAGAGCGTTCCAAAGCGTTTAACAGCCACTAAAAGGTCTTCTTTTCCCATACATGCTAGGAAGCTTTCCTCTTATTGTAGAATCAAAGTATAATTCTTTCACCAATATTTTGCTTCACTGTCACATGGTGTTTAGAGGGATTTGGAGACATCATCTTCATCTGGTCACTATTTTAGGTAGTTTATGTCAAAAAGTACTTTATAGTTTGTGGTTTTTAAAAGGGGAAAAATTAAGGAGGTATTAACTATTTTTCAAAACCTTATACCGGTAGCTAAATGACTGCATTAAACCGTAATGTAGTGCTTGAATTAATATCATATTGTAAATGTCTTTTTTTTTCTTCTTCTTCTTCCCTCAGGGATAAAAAACCCAGTCTTAGTTGCGAACTGTCTCCTGATTGAAGCACAGAAGGGGAAGCTCTCAGCGGGCAGAATACCACCCTGGTGACTATCAAGGCTCCTAATTAATGAGTGCCTTGTCACAGCTTTCTTTTTGTTAATTTTGCTACCTTTTTGCAGCTTTTTGGTGGGGCGAGGGGCCCATGATTGGGCAGTAAGCCACGGAATACCTCCATGTCCTTCGGAGAATATGGCAACAAGTGAGTGTTGTTGAGATAATCAAATGAAAAATAAAGATTTTGTTTATAGTAAAAAAAAAAAAAAAACGTTAACTTGAAGTTCGCAAGATAAAAGATTTGCTTTCCTTCATATGGATGCAATTGGGCCCTATTTTGTCACATCCAGAGTTCAGTTTATCTGCATACAAGAGGAATAAGCGAAAGATGGAGCTGGCAGAGAAAATGGATGCAGGGCAAAACCAGACAAAGAAGAGACGACAATCGAGTGAAAACGTGAGTTTTTTTTGTTAGCATATACAGTAAGGGTCTGTTCTCTTCCAGCATTTTATTCAATATATTTATATTGTCCATCAAAATTAAAATCTGAATCTCCCTCCCTGACAGAAAAAAGTTGGCCTGTTGGTGGAGAGACATTCTGATTGTGACACAAACCTTGTTTTTTCTAATTTTTCTTAAAGCTATTCTGCATTAAATCTTTGGTTGCTTTCAGGAGCTATTGGATGAAATGCAATTATTTTCAAATTTAGTGAGAGTTAATTTAGATGAACTTAATGACATAAACCTAATTTGAATCATAATTGGCCCTCCTACATAATGAGTGGCTGGATCCATTTTAATGATCTTTTTGTTTGTTCAGGATCCAGGCAGTTAATCTTGCTCTAACACTGACTAAATTGGAAGAGCAGGGTGGTTGCTTTAAAAAGGATTGGAATGAAATTATTTACCTCTCAGGAAACATGCTCATCGAAAAGGCTGGCCTTGAAATTATTCAACTAACAATAAAATGGCCCCCATTTCAAACATTTACCCTCCAAAAAAGAAAGAATACGTTTCTATGAAGAAGCTTAAGGATATCTTAATAGAGTCCAGGTAGTATCAGGAGTGTCTCTTGTAGAGGATTTAATTATGGGATGCCACCATTGCTTTTGAGAGATGCTTGTCTAATTTCCCAACAACTTTATTTAAATGAAAATAATTTTGTGTAAATCTAGCAATACGATAGTTGCTGCCAGGTCTTTTAAACAAAAAGAAACAACAGAATTTAAATGGTGAAAGACAAAATCAAAGGTTAATCATTTAGAATCCTTTTAATGAAAGGTATTTTGAAGGATCATTTAGATGAGTTACAGCTGTACCGTCATATGCTATGCAATGTGGGATGCCACAGGGCTTTGTTCTCGGAACTCCTTCTTTTTGAACTATATTTGCTTCCTCTTGACTTAAAGGAAGGAAAGAGGATGCTGTGTGTCCAATTGCTGTTTGTGTATTTTTTAATTGTGTGCATGCATGCCCCGTTCTTTGCAAAAGTTCTCTACACTGGAAACTCCTCCGCTGGTAATTTTGATAAAGAATGCATAAGAAATATGAAAACATTAAGAATATATTAGAAAGTTCCCTTTTCATTCATCAATCCGTTTTCTCATCAATGTGTGAAAGTTTAGGGCAATAGGCCCTCCCATGATAGGGAAGGGCAATTCTTGGCAGGCAGGTTTTTCTCGGCATAACACCGCTGTTATCACTGCAAGTTAAATTTCAAATTTGTTGGTGTTCTTGCTGCTGCATGTTTAAAAAAAATACAGTACTGCAGAAGTAAATGTAATGTACCTGTCCAGCAGAAGTTTTGGAACCAAGTATCCGTTTTCAGACCCTTTTGCTCCTTCAGGGTACACCATCTCTGAAAAAAATTCCTAAACACACAGTTAGCCGGCTCCGTTTTCTCCCACTTTCTCGCCTCTTTTCAACTATATCTAAAAAAGACTTTCTTTACTGGTTAGGTTAGACAGGATTCCTTTTGGCCAATGATGCTCAAATTTAAGCAAAAGAGTGAACAAATAGCTCAAAAAAAGCCACTGCAGCAAATAAGCGTAGGAGTACTTCTTGCTTCGGCGTGATTGCGGACCGTTACGCTTGAAGCCTACATATATAACGTAGTGGGGCATGTACGCAAAATGTTTGATTGACAAACAAATAGCCTCTCCACCTATGACAGTAGGCAAAGTGGGTTGGCTATTGTTTTGTATGCCTCTCCACAACCAGGGTTTAAGGATTTTTTTTTTTTTTTTTCCGGGGGTGCATAAGTGCAAGAATACCAGCCATAAATTAATTCATTTTAGATGAATTTCGATACTTAATTTCCCAGAAGATTTAGATATTTCTCAAAAAGAAAGATGAAAACTACATTAAGTCACTGCTGGAATGTCTTGAACACTGAAAGACCAAAAAGACCATTAAACCTGCTGGAGCAGGTATGTCACATTTATTATTGAACAAGTAGAAACAACGCTGCACTAAAACAACCATGCATCTACATCTAAACCATAGTCACCTAATGGAGTTTTCCCTGATGTGTCAAAAAACAAAACTAAAGCCATTGGGATGAAGTCAACCTTCCCTACAGTCCACAATCAATGAAATGTTTAATAAACAACCAAATTACACAAAGTGCAGTGCAAAATGTTGCATACTCACAGTGTTGTTTGCCTAATCTCCAGAGAGGCGCCGGCCTTTAATTTCTTTGACACAAAGACGTTCTAAATATGTTGCAAACATCTGACACTCCTCGAAAAACGTACCTTTCACACGTCCTGTTGATGAATCTGTCCTTATTTAAACTGAACACTTTTTTTGTTAGTTTGCACTTTTTCACACAGTTTCTCCCATTTTTCCTGTCTTAGTGTAACGATTTATATTTAGTTTGACATCCTTGTTCAAAGTAACTTCGCAATCCATTTTATTTATTATTTTATTTTGTAGTTTTTATATCTATTTTATTGATTTATAGTTTAGTTTAATTTTTATTTATTTGCATTTATATTACCAGAGAATGCGAGTCCAGTTTATTTATTGTTAAGCTGACTTATTTGGAGTATTTAAAATGAGCAAAATGTTCTTAATTTTAATTCTATCGATTTTTGAGAGGGTGCACTTGCATTATTAAGCTGATGTCATAAAATTAGTTTATATTGGTTTTTTAAATGACAGTATTTAGATTAAGGGTGAGAATTTATTTTTTCAGCAGAATTTATTATTTTGACAGGCTTATCTGTTAGCATGTACCATTCTCTTGTTAACTCCCTTCCATTGGAAGCGGGATAGAAGAGGGTTGGAACGTTTATTTTGGATCACATACAAATGTTGTTAAATGTCTGTAAACATGAGTTATGCAAACTTCAATGGTATGTCTTTTTAATCGTGTTTTGCTTTGGTAGATCTAGATCATATTTTACTTAGAAAATGTTTAATCCAAAAGAAAGCAAACAGCTTTTATGGCCTACTTGTTTATTCAAGCCACCAATGATTCAGTGATAAATCTTTGTGTCAAATGGTTGTTATTCTTAATAGGCACAAAGGGAATGCTTGTTTTTCTTTGCCATAATGCGTGACCCACTTGAAGATTAATTTGTGATTATTTGATGCCATGGATAAATTATACTTGGTTTTAACTCTGCAATTGAGATACACTGACATTTAGTAGGGAACAAAAAACAAAAGCAAACTGATTTTATATAATAAGGTATCAGAGTCAAGGCTGAGTATAACAGTATGTTATGCCGGCCTGTTTTTAATTCTAGGCACAATGTTCTTTTTATGCCTCTCTGACTTGTTGCCAAGTAATAAAATCTTTCCCTTCCCCCCTTTTAATTCATGGCAGAAGAAACACCTGTGTACTGATGGTGTAAAGTAAAAAAATGTAAAGACTCTCCAACTTATTTACATAACTGTAATTTCCTAATGTTTTGCAGCAAACATTTATGGTAGAAATGAAAAGCGATTCTGTAACGGACAGTAGTTAGCATAGCCAATTTGGCTTGGGCCCCTTTTGGACTTAGAACCACAGAGACATGTGTGATTTAAGAGAGCATGGAAAAGAAAAGCCCATATTGTATTGTTTTCTCCCCCCCCCTTTTATTTAATGTTTAAGTATTCAGTGCTGGTGAATGTGGAATGGTGATTATTCATTATGATGCCAGTTTGCATCATTAAGATCCAGAATTGTATTTATCATCCACTCCGGACTTGTGTTCACAAGCAAATCACTTCTAAAATGAACTGCAATCAGGGAAAGAAAACCGATTTAAATTACAGCTGATGATTTTTTATTAAAGATGAAGGAGGAGAAAAAGGGAATTCGTCAATTTATGGTTTCTTTGACTTTTTTTTTTGTAAGTGATCAAACCCAGTTTTTATTTTTGGCAGTCGCTTAATGTTTTTTTTTTTTTTCAGGGCAATTTTTGATTATGCGTATGTTTTTTTTAAAGTGTGCAATTTGTTATTCTTTCCTGGTTTGATGTAGGAAAACGGTTCAGGGTGCCTTGACACAGTTGGAGCTGTTGTGATCGACTCAGAAGGGAATGTGGCTGCAGCTGTGTCCAGCGGAGGCCTAGCAATGAAACATCCCGGCAGGGTCGGCCAGGTATGGATGGTCTACTCTGTCTACTCTTGTGATACTTTTATTGTTTGTTTTCTCTACATTTAAAAAGTTAACCCACCACCTAGAAAGTTGCATTGTCCTTTCAAAAGCTTTCATATTAAATTTTTTTCCCATTCTGTTATGCCACAACCACAAACATCCATGTATTTTATATATTTGACCAACATAAAGTAGTGCGTGACTCTAAGTAAACACAATACATGTTTTTTGTTTTGTAGAGCCATCTTTTGCTGGAATAACAGCTGCACCTCTTTCCGGGTATGTCTCTATCAAATCTAGGAGTATAAATTCATGTTCACACTAGCTCAAGCTTATTGAGAGTGTCTGGAAATAGTAATTTTCAAACCTTTCCAAAGATTCTGTAAAGTATATATCTTTCAGTTGAATAACATTTCTATGCTTTTGTGTAAGCCATCTAAATTTAGCTCTTGAAATATGTTGAGAATTGGTGGTAGAGGATCCAGTGCCCCTGTGTTGTCATTTTATTTTTTTGTAGCCCTTATCAGGTTATTAACTACATTCCAACAGCATGATGCTCCCATTACTATGCTTCATAATGGGAAGAATTTGCTCAGTCGCGTTCAATAAACCCTATTCACATAAGATAAAAGGGAACTGAATGCAAAATACTAAATATTTTAGATATTATTTTGAAACAATGGTGTTTTGTGTCATATGAAATCTAGAGAAAATACTTGAAAGTTTGTGGTTGTGTTGTAAGAAAAGCGGGAAAGGCTGAGAGGCATGGATAGAGGTCAAAGGCACTTTAAATAAAGGTCCTATCTAACTAGGATGGACATTTTCTCCCACAAATAGTGGCTGGTTAAAAAAAAAAATTAATAAAAAAATGTTTTAAAATCCTACAATATTATTTCCTGGATTTTTTCCCCCTCATTTTATCTCTAATAGTTGAAATATATCTATGATTTAAAAAAAATATATATACCCCTTTCCTACTAGCCCCAAAACCCGTTTAAACCTTTGGAACAGTCGGGTTCTGGTGGCAGTGGGAACGACTCATTGACCCGGGTCAAATGACTCGGCAAGCGAGCCGGAATAAAATTATTAAATACGCCCAAATGTGAACATCAGATCCAGTTCGACCCGCTAATTTTTTATTTTTCATTGAGTACAACATATGGACGTCAACATACCTCGCCAGTTACGTGTGATATAACAAACCAAAATAACTCTGCTTGCATTCGATAAACATGGTGCAGAGCTGGACAGAGATTCAGAGGGACAAAAGAATGAAACAATAAAGCACACTTACTACGCCCTGGCTTCCTTCGATGTTGCTCTCCATTGTTTACTTCCCTGATTTCTGTCACACTGGTAAAATCGTCAGTACTAAACCAGTTTGATAGTATCACCAGACACGCAGCAGTGGGGGGACAGAGACGATGCGGTTTTCCAGCGCAGGTTAGACTCATTTTTTTTTTTTGCCAATGGGAAGGGAGCCAAATGGGAAATTATAGCGGATTGACCCGTGTATAAAAAACCCGGGTTATCCAGCTGATTTCAGTGGGAAAGAGGCTTAAAGCTGCCATTCAAATAGATCCATGTTGTTCCTTTGCTTGTCTTATCTTACAGATCATTTCTTATTGAAACTGTCCTGCTACTTTGACCTATAAATCAGATGTACACTTAAACTAGCCCTGTCCTTATTTTTTGGAATGTTTTAATGAATGTTATTTTGCATATACTTCTGATCAATATCTTCCCTTTCAGTTTAGACTCTGTAAAACATGCCTGCTTTTGATATGATGCCTAATTCATAGCTAAATCTGCCAGCGCTGGCCCCTAGGGCAGCAAAGCAGAACATTTTCCTCATTGAACTTGGTATAATAATCTTCTCTAAAACGCTGCTTTTGATGTCGACAGTCGCCAAATTTATGTCTTTGATTTATGTTTCCAGAGCAGAATATCCCAACAAGCCTGCTCTTTGTTTATACTGGGTTCATTGGCAAACTATCACTCTAGTACTAGTACACTAATGTTCTTTTTGGAGAACTCTGAAGTAGTGATGCACCGAGCAGAACTTTGTAGCCAAGTTTCTATCTCCTATTTCATAAAACTGAATTGCAAAAACAGATTTTAGCCCATTATCTTGCCCTTTTAAGATTTATGAGCAACAACAACATTGAAATATATATTTATATAATCTGGAACAAAGGATTTGAAATATTGATGTCAGACTGACAAATCATAGATCTGTGCTTTTAAAGTGTAAAATAATAGAAGGGGTCAGCAATATTGTCTTAGATCTCTTACTGAAAAAGGTCTACCTTACACCCATGTACTGCAGGTCATTTATGATGAAAGATGGAAAGAAAGTTAAGGGTTGCCACCTACGTGAAGTTTGATCAAATAATCTTTATTATAATAAATGTATTCTCTTGAAGATTAGAATAAGCAGCTCTACTGGTCCCCTCCACCAAGTGCATCCTTGTAGATGTCCTGGAACAAGTTGGTTTACATTTTCAATGTCTCATAGTCTCAGAAATGTTACTGATCAATGCACCTTTGAAAAGCTGGAAGCAGTTTGGAGGAATAAGCAAACAGCTGTTACCACTAAATTTCCACAGCTTTCTGTTTCTGTCCACTCCTTATGATGTTAGTCCATCATTGCCGCAACCAGATGTAATAACCCAAATAAACTTCTGGTTTTTTGATGAATGTTGCCAAAATTAACAATACTTCCTGCTGAAGATCAAGTTACCAACATACTAAATAGCTTTTTTTACTCATTGTGATCGTAAATGTTTGTGTGATCATTGTGTCACTTTGAGCCAGTTACAAGAAGTCCTGGCTTTTCCTTAAAAGAAGCACCACTGGAAAATGTCTCCAACATGGGGCTCTGAAGGATAAAGATAGCAGCATTCTCTGTCTTTAACTGAATTACCACCTGTGCAGCGAAGCAAAGCTTTTGTTCAAAACCAGCGCAGATTCTGGGATGCTGCTAATTAGTTTGAAATAAATACTCCACCACTCCTTTCTCTCTCTTTTTTTTTTTTTACAACGGTCAATATTTTTCTATTCATGTTAATTAAGCAAAATAGCATATTTATTTCTCCTTTTTGTAATTCTAGGCTGCTCATTATGGATGTGGCTGCTGGGCTGAAAACTCCTTTAACATGAACTCTTACTCTACAGCAGTGAGTACCTCAGGTATAACCTCCTGTTCTTTCTGTTTCTTTATAATTATGGGATTTCATCTACAACAGTTTTGTGCTAGTGCTCTTTAAAAGTGGTTTACATCATGAAATAAATCAACAAAGTGAGTCAAGACCGAAAAATAAATCTTTGCAGTGCCTCCCGATTACCTCTAACTCTCCCTGTTGAGTGATTCTCATCAGTCACTTCCTGAGCTGATTGAGATGTCGTAGTCCTCTTTTCGGTCGGCCAGCTGCATGCCAGGTGTATTCCAAAGCTCTTTGGACTTTCAGTGACATTAACATGGGACACCTGCTGTAAGACATAATGAGAACTTGTGTGAGTGGAACGTAGTAATGGAAAACTCAATATCAATAGTTATCTACATTTAGACCATAACATCAATCAAATAGTCTCTGGTGTAGTCATTTGTCCACGTAGATGTAACCACAGTGATTGCACCAGAACAATCAAACTTAGACGTTTGAAGAGGCTGGTTTCTCCACAGTTCCTGAAAGGCTTTAGATGATGTCTCTCTGTATGTGTGTCACTGAGGGTTGAAAACAAACTGCTACATGAAGTAGTAGAAGTACTCTAGGCTCTCCCTCAGAGATAGGTTGAGGAGCTCAGTCATCCGGGGAGGATTCAGAATAGAGCCGCTGCTCCTCCGTGTTGAAAGGAGCCAGCTCAGCTGACCAACACCAACAGGTGGCATCCTCCTGGATTCCTCCCTGGTGAGGTGTTCAGGTAATTTCCCACCGGGAGGAGGCCCAGGGGCAGACCCAGGAAACGGTGGAGGGACTATGTTTCTCAGCTTGCCTGGGAATGCCTTGGGGTTCCCCTGGAGGAGCTGGTGCAAGTGGCAGGGGAGAGAGATGTCTGGGCCTCCCTACTGAAACTACTACCCCCCTGACCCGACCCCGGATAAGCAGAAGAAGATGGATGTATGGATGGATGGATAGATGGATGGATGAAGGTGTGCCTTTTTCATTCAGCGTTAAGCCGTTTGCAACCTTCTAGGCCTTACCGAAAACCATTGGGTGTAGTTTAGGGATGTTTTATTAAAAAAAAAGTTGATATCAGCTAAAAACATCCATAGTGTACTTCTAATATCCTTTTGGCTGATATAATACTCAGAAACAGCCTAGAAATGTGATTAAATTATCAGGTTTTCTACCTTGAAACACATTACTAAGTTGGCAGAAACAGGTTTTTGTTCACTTGTTGCTTTCTCTGTGTGTAGAGAGACTAAAAACCTAAAGAAAGGTAAGAAGTTAAGAAACTATAGGAATGAATACGCTCTCCATTCATTCATCGTACGCAACCCCAGCTTAGAGTTTCACCTGAAATTGCTCTTCTTTTTAGCTTTTCACCAGCTGTATGGTGCCTAGTTTTAAATTTTGCTGTAGAGAAACCATTGAATGTGTCTTCTTTTAAGATGTGGAGATGTCTGCAGCCTAGCTTCTGGGGAATGTTGGAAAGCTTTTGATGTGGATCTGCGGCCTAATGCATCACAGTGCAGATCAGACGGGCTTGAGCTTAATGTTCTTCAGTTTCTGCTATGTTCGGATTAATGCACTAAATAAACTGGATTGTGAAACTTCTATTTAATATTATATATAAATTATTTGATTATTGTTTAATTATAATATAAAATTGAAATATTTTATTTTGCACATCTCAGGTGTTACATATCCACTACTGTAAAAATGTCCACAGCTGTATATTGATTATTTCTTCTTCAGATGACTGCACCGTATTTATATTTATAAATCACTGTACAGTATTTTATTTTGTTTATTTTCTAACTCTGCCACTTTTTCTGTTATTTTTATACACTTTTAAGGTTCATATTTGTGAGAACACATTTGCTGTAATGCTTTTACTGCTGTATATATACAATATAGGGATTTTCTATCCTATTTTATATTTTATTCTATATTAATTGCAATTGTTAAGTTGCTTTAAAATACAAAGGAAAGTAAAACTGCTCTAAGCAACATTTAAACGTATTTATGAGTATTTCACCCTGCAGCTTTTTCTTATAATAAATTTTGTCCTAAAGACTAAAGCTGTATTTTGGCTGCTGCTGCTGCTGTAACGGGCGGATCATGGTGGGTTTCCCAAAATCTGGTTTGTGTACCATTTCCTGGTAAATCAAAGAAGATGGCAGATGTTTTACTTGCTTCTGTCTGCTCATTAAAGTTAGTGGCATTAGATGCTTTTCAGGTACCTGTTGCATTTCCCACAGGATCAGAGCACAGTGTTAGTAAAGGTCTGTTTTTTTCTTTTCTTCCTGTTATCTCAGTAGATTAAGTGCATATGCCTCTCCCTGTACATATTTCCGCCTCACCCTGTCCTACTATATTGTGGCTTCTTAGCTTTGATGTAACCAACACAAAGCCAGTCTTACGATTTTGAAAAGCACAGTGTGGGCTCCAGCACAATGCCTGTTTTTAATTTTTTTCTTCACTTGAAAGGCATTTCCATCAAAAGAAACAGAAAAAACAATATTTTTTTAGTATGACACAAGGAGCGTGATCCTTACCCTTCATGTCACTCTTTTTTTTTTCCTACTTAACAAAAAGCAACAATCTATTTTGCCTCCTTTTCTACCTTCTGCTTCCCTTTTCCATTTCAGTCTGATTTGTAATATGTGGCTCATCTGGCTCATAGTTTTACTGCTTCATCTGGTCTTTACTTTGCTGTGGTCATTGAGGCATCAGCTCTGTTGCAGATTTCCTCTCTGAAATCTTTGTTCAGCTCTTTGGGCCACCTTGATGATCTCTGGTGAAATGCAGCCCCTTTTTTTTACAAAAAAAGACCTGGAAATTCCTCCAGGCACTTGGTTTGTATAGTTGCTAACCTCCTTTTTGTTCTGTTGTAGTAACCTGATGCTTTATGAGAGCTTTAATTTGTATTTACAGAAACAATGAGTCTTTATTTTTCCCTCTGCCTTTATGAGTTTCACAAGCGCTCTGTCGTCAGTTGGGTTTTATTTTCACTTTCAGAATGCTATTCATTTTTCTCTCTAGCTATCTGGGACAAACTCTTGGAAAACTGTGAAAGCGTGAAACTCTGTCACTTTTAGACATTTATGGTTAGAGTGGCCTTTGACTGAGCCATCCAAAACTAATTAGTAATTATTTTTTTTTCTAATTTGCTTTCATCTATTATTATCAGTCATTTAATTATTCTTTTTTTTTTTTTTACTATTACCCTGTAATATACTTTTTGTGTGTTTTATCATTATGTATAGCTCTTGAAATTGTCTTAGTACTGAAATGTGCTGCATAAATATACTTGCCTTGCTTCCAATAAGTGGAATTCAGGCATTGTGTTTCAATATTTGCAAAAGCTATAGATAATAAGAACTAATTACCTTTCAAGAGGTTTCAACGTTTACATTTTGTATTGTGTAAACAGCTTTAAAAAAAACTAGAAATGAAAGCATGTGAGAGTCTAGAATGTTGAGAACAACACAGAGAAGCCCTGTTTGATTTCTAATTGTTCTCCCCAAAAAAATAAAGATAATTCTATCCTTAAATCCTCTGAGTTAATATGACCTTCCTGGCTGCGAAGAGCTCAGGTCAACTTCTTAGAGGAACTGAAATTGAATCTTTTAAGCTGCTTAATTATTTGGCTAAAGCCATTTAGACTTAGTCTGTGTCAACACAAAAATTTTTACCGTCTTTGGTTTATCTTGTGTTCTGCCAGGGTGTGGAGAGCATCTGATTCGCACCATGCTGGCTCGGGAATGCTCCGCTGCCATGCAGTCTGAAGATGCCCACCAAGCACTGCTGGAGGCTATGCAAAACAAGTTCATCAGTGAGTCACACTCATGTAGCTTGATGACCACCGTTTTCCAAACACACGCTAACTGAAAGGCAAGGGTGCGTTTTTCAGCGAAGAATTGAGGGAATGAAACAAACAGATGTTTTCTCCTCATGAGGAATGAGAGAACCACCAGAAACATAAAGAAGAAAAAATCAAGAGACAACTTTTCTGTTTGAATTAAATATTAAGCTGAAGGTCCATACATCACAGTGGACAGCTACAGATAATTTAAGATGATGTCATATTTTGGGGAATCTTTATTTGAAGGTGTAGTTTAGTTGCATTTTTTAGAGGTTTCCATTTTTAAAGATCCTCGTTAAGTGTGTTTGCCATGCAGCGGATGGCCACTGCATTAGATCAGAGGAGACAAACCGAAAAGACATGTGGTGGTTTCAGCCCTGTTCTGGTCTCTGGACGACCATCAATGTTTGGCTCTGGAATGTATTTGTTTTCCAACACTGAGGTCAGTTTGATGTTATTCCATGTTTCTGTTTGAATGCGCATTAGGTTTAAACAAAGCTTCATAAATCGTTATGGCAACGTAACTTAATCAAAGCTAAGTGATGGTTTGAAATGGAGAAATAAACGTCTTTTAAGTCAAATACCAACTGCAATTAGAAAATGTCAAACCTGTTTCTCAAATAATTCAGACAATAATCAGCCTTTTTAGTCTTTGCAGTGCTTATAGTGGCTATTTTGAGTTCAATTTCTATAAACTAGATATCTATATAGTATTGTGTTGAAGATGATAGCAGTCCAACGTCTCTTGCCAGATCAGTCACTGCCATACTATTGTTCTTATTATTCATGTATCAACAGGTGTAGCCCCAACAGACCCAACAGTCATGGCATACATGCTACAGAGTCTACAGTAAGTGTATCGTTACATCAATAACGTGGAGTTCAATCAGGGAGGTCACTTTGCAAAAGCAGGTGTGAAAACAGGTTGCTCTTATGGTAAAACTTAGGCTTTGTGAAGTTTGTGGAAAAAGGAACATGTATTAGAAAGTCAGAGACTGATTGGCTGCTCGGATAAAATAAATTGAAACCAGGAAATCGGAATTGAAATAGTTGGGAGAAGAGAGAAAATGCACAACAGGTTGATCAAGGAAGGTCTTTGGTTACCTGTGGGAGCCATAGCATAAGAAGATGTGTATGTGAAGCCAAGCTAACATCAGGAAGCCACCCCACACACCTCATTGTTAAAAAAAAAAAAAAAACTCCAAGCCAGAAAGAGGTTTACAATTTGCCAAATAACACATCATTTAGTTAAAAGATGAAATCACCAGAGGGCGATCCACAGACATTGAATTACAGCCAAGATACACTGTGAAAGATGGTTGCTCTGGCAACACAGTATGTTGATGTTTCTCATATCATGTCGGGCCTGTTTAGCACGCACCTTTGTTTAATAAATCATGGATCAGCATGTACCCTTCAAAACACTGAAGAAGTCATGTTGCCTGAAGAGAAATTCACCTCAAGTGAAATTTTCAACAAGAAAACAACCAAATAGATTACCATAAAACAGCAGCACATCAGTTCCAGACCAACAAAATCAGGGTTTTTGAGAAGCAACTGTCCAATATCAAAATTTTGATTCGATAAATAAATGGAGGAGATATTAAACATATTTTAACAGTGGTTATAAAGCTAAATATTACATTACAGCTGCACAGGAAATCAACATATTTGATAACTTTCAGATTATACTTTAAAATTTGGAGTATGAATCCCCTCATCTTCCCCCATCTTCCATTTTCTTTATATTACGGGCTTAGAAAAATATTCTTTTAGATGTTATTTTGGATTAGAATGGGAAGTGTCCCCAATGTATTTATGTGTGTCAAATTGGTAGCTTTCATTGTTTTAAACAAATTAGGATTTTGAACTCTAAAACTCTAGAAAGCTGCAGGTTCACTCCTGGACTGTGTATTAGACATTAATAAAAAAAAACAACAAAAAAACAGCCAGTGATGACTATTGAATCCCATTTCCTGAACTCAAAGGATGAATGTTTTCATTAAAACAGCCATTTTTGGGGCAGGGGGTTGTTTGGGTAATGTGAGGGGTCAGCGAATACATTTAAAGGAGAGAAGTGAGTGAAAGGTGATTTCTGGGTGTTCTTGTACCGTGCAAAAGAAACCTGAAAAGGAATTCTGGGATATTGCGGAGTGTTTAGCAAGTAGAAGTGACAAACACATACCAGGATTGTTTTCCAACCCAAAGAAAGAATTTGCAGCTAAAAGAGCATCATAACAAGAAAGCGAGCCTGGTTTAAAGGACACAAGAGAAGTGCAGGGCAGACACAATATTTCCATCAAATAAAACATTTGGTCCTGATTTTTTTGTAATTTTTTTTATGTTTTTCTTTTCTTGTTGCTGTTTTGAGACATAGCCATTCATGCAACATATGTTTGTAGTTTGTTTTACAGACCAAGCTTTCTTGAATTTTATTGCACCACACCAACATTGAATAATACAACAACTCATTCAAGTTTGCAGTTTGATCATGAAACAAATTAGGTGCTTTCTTTGTTTTGTTTAGTTTAATGCGAAGGAGGGTTAAATTTTTTTTGCTGTGTTATCATTAAGAATACAACAATTGCACTACCTGTCATTATCCAATTACTTTGATCACATGAAAGCAGTAAAATATTTTTATTTATCAGACTTCCTTATAATTGCATCAGAAGAGAATAATCACTTCCAGTTGTTTAACTTGGCTATAAAAGCAAATAACTCATACGGGGGAAGAAACATTTCTTTAAAGAATCCCTTTTATTTGATTAAAGGGGGTTATACTATGTCTATTCCACACAGGAAAAAAACAAATGTTTCAATAATTGTTCCAAAAAGTCAGACAGGAAAAACTGCCTCTGAAGGTCAAAACTAAAGGATTTAACCAAAACTTGGGGAACTTTAAGACTGATTTAAAAGAAAACAATAGATCAAGTTTAAAGCTTATTTACATTTTGTTGTAGTTAGGATTGAGAAAACCAATGCCTTTCTAAAAGCTGATATTGACTGTTTTTGTTCAATTTCTGGTTCACCTTATAATATGTCGGTTACAAACCCATTTTAGTATTTTCTCACTAACAGCCACACAAAGTCTTTCACTAAACCAACTTACTATTATCTTAAAAAAGCTCCTATCCATCCTATCAGCAGTAGACACAAAACATACGGTTGTATTTTGCTGATTTAATTTACTCCAGGTCGCTTTAAAAATGTAGTGAAGAAAATAAAAACCCAACCTTTTCGTTACCCCTTTCTGATAGACTGAAGGACTCTTGCCATTCCTTTTTTCTATGTACCCGGTACACCTTAGACTTCCAGTACAAGGCAGGTTCTTTTCATCTACAGAAATTCTCGGATGGCTCTGCAGTCGTTGGATGCATCAGTGAGAAAGAATTGTTTGTTGAAACAATCATTTGACCTTGAATGTGAACAAAACAACTGGGGTGATGGTTGAATTCAGATGAGACAGTAGCCAGTTGAATACTGTTACCACCCTGGGAGAGAAAGATGGAGGACTATACAGTATATAAGTACCTCGCTGTTAACCTGGACAACTGTCGGGACCAGAGATACAAATGAGACTCTGTGTTCAGAAGGGAAAGATCAGGCGGTGCTTCTTGAGGAAGCTAAGGGTTTTCAGTGTTTGCAGGAAAATGCTGCATATCTTTTAGACATCTGTAGGGTACAGGACAATCTCTTAGGCCAGCGTCTGTTGTGACAGCAGCATCCAAGACGAATTTTATAAGTATATTGTAATCTTGATTAAGGAGAAGTCGAGCAGACAGGTAAAAGTTTTGGGTTTTATGTTCACACCTCACAGGCTCACCGTTTTTGGCCAGTGAAGACCGTGTTCTGGGTGGAGTTATTGTCTTGAGATGCTGCAGAAACGTGGAAGCACAGCCATCTTCTAATGTTCAAAGTGCAATGGGTAAGGCATTATTATTTACAGTTTTGTGTGTTTAATCAATGTGCCTCGTAAAAGTAGGGAAAGTTGTAACTTTAAGTATAATTTTTGTTTTTTATTAATTAAGGAAAGGTGGGAGGAGATACTTTGGCTCTTCTTTTTGGTTGTCTGAGTTTTAACTTGTGTTGTAAGGCTATATTTAACCCGTTCATCTGTCAGATCCGAACTCAGACCTCTCACCTATAACCAATGCTAATCTTTGCAGAACAGTTCCTTTTGAGAAAAACTTAGTTTGACAGAATTTAATATTTTTTCCACCTGCAGCTTGAAGACAGAACCGTTTCTTTCTGCATAATTTAAGATTTGTTAGCATCTTAAGATGCTTCTAACAGTTGGGTCATCTCCAACTTCATAATGGTTGCTTTAGGAATTAGCATCATACCAGGCTCTTCTTCACTTTAGAAAAGTAAAATGGTCTGTTTTAGCTTTTTTTCTATCCATTTTCTGTGGTATTAAAGGTCTTTTAAATTAGATCTATTATGTTTTTGCAGTGGAGTTCCTATGGAGTCACACCACAGAGAGCATGTGTGTTGGCTACATGTCTGCCCTAGACAGCAAAGCAAAGGTGAGTTTTCAGATTGCCATTTAATAAAAACTATTTTTTTTTGTATTATCTACACATTCAGTTTTCAAGTGCTCCCTCTCATATTAAGTTTTCACTAATTATTTCAGAGGGATCAAACTTCATAATATTAATATTTTAATTTTAATAAGATATCACAGATATTCTGGATATTCTAATTTTATGACCTTGAAATTAGAATGTCCAGGATATTCTTTTAAGTAATTCCATTCTAAAAGTGAAACGTGTATATTCATATTATATTTATTCATTCATTCACACACAGACTGATGTATTTGAAGTGCTTTTTTAATGTAGCTAATTATAGCAGATTACAAATGAAACCCCAAAGTCAAAATTCAAACAGGTTGAAAAGGATCACTAATGCAGATACTTGGAGCGACACTCTAACTCAGCTAATTAACTCAAAACACATAAATTGGCTTTTATATTGTCTTTTATTGCTAAAGAGGGTGGCTGTTCAGAGCTCAGTGTCCGGGCACATTAATAGAGAGGCAAAGGGAAGGAAAACGTGTTGTTGAAAGAAACGTACAAGCCATAGGGATAACGGCATCCTGGAGAGGATTGTGAAAAATATCCTATTAAAAATGCGAGGGAGATTCAGCTCCACTAGCTCACGTTCTGTTAAATACAAAAACAGAAACAAACTTCTTTTAAGCACATTTTTAAACAGACTTTTAATCAATAAATTAACAATATATATTATTATTGTATTAATTCATGATTATATATCCATACAACTAAAGATAGGTATATGTACAACATAAATGAAGTTGCAGTGTTGTGAATCTGTCTAACTTACTGATATGGTCTTTAATGCTGCCTCTGTATCTCAGCCCCTATGAATAAAGGAGGTGCACTGTTGTTCAAGTGTGGTTCAGATTTCAAAGTGTTTGCTTTCCATGTCCTGTCCCCGCCTCCTTCAGCCGTCCTTTTTCTTTTACTCACAGTTTGACTCTTTGGTCACTGCCTGGTTCTGTTGTACCACAAAGTTTACTTAAAGTCTCCCACAACTGTGATTATCAGTATCATTCTCTGTAAATCTCTTCTCTTTAAATGTGCGCTATCTATTTGCTGTATAGTGTGAACCATCGAAAGCACAGTATGTCAAAACAGGGTCCTTTAAGTCATCATTTTATAATTTGAGCTTTAGCAGGATTACATTTCACAGTAAAAAGTTATTTAAAGTATTTGGTCAGTGGGTGCAGATCCAGGAATATCATTTGTCATCAACCATCTCTGTCTCCTGGGGGCGGGTGTCCGCTTCTTCTGGAGGGAGCAGCGGTGATTTTGATATTAGAGAACGCAGCCAAGATCCCAGCTGCTCCACCAAACCTTAGATTGTTTCTACTGGATATCAACAGTGGGATTCAAGCTATGCCATCTGCACACCAGAGCAGCTGGCTTTTCTGTCCGTCATGCTCCCTCGATGGGTGCAAACAAGATTTCTCTTGCTGATCCCCAGCTGGGACCAGAGCTGTTTTCTGCTCAGTGCTTACATACGTTCATTAAGGGGGGTAGCACGGAGGGCAGCATCTGTTTTCTCTCTCTCGCGTCAGATGAAGTTCAAATAGCAAGAGATAGAAACATTAAAGAGCTCAGTCACATCTGCTTTAGAGGCCAACAAAGTGCCACTTGTATGACCATGACCTTGATCTTAAATCTGTAAGAATGTTCAACCTCAAAGCTAGAGAAGGGTCCCCCATTTATAATGTAGCACCAGAGGCAGAAGAAGCACCTTGGAACAAACTATCTCATGTTGTCATAACTATCTTCTCTGTATATGAAACATATAATGACTTAAAATGTTGCAAAACACGCATTTCTATTACCAGTTTTTTCAATACCAAGAAAGCTTTTCTGCAAACATTCCTTCCATTCCTATAAGCTGACTATTTCAGTCCACCCATACTTCATTGTCCGCTGATTATATGTGATAATAACATGAAAGGGCTTTCACACAGCTCTGTTTATTGAGAAACATATAGAACAGAGGTGTATTTTAGGGGAACGTTTAACTCTGAAAGCTCTGAAATTCAAAAAGATGTTATCAGCAGAGGTGATAATGTTTACTTTTTAATTTTCTATAATATGTGAACGTTTTAGGTGGAATAGCTTTAAGTGATTATTGCAGCTAGCATTGCTTAAACAGCAGTCTCTGTTTGTATTTTCTTGAATATGCAGATCTTTATATGATGATGTCTAGGATTTTCAAAAGGTTGGGAGCATTTCCACATCCACAGTTTGCTTTGAAAATTAGAGGTTTAAAGCTCAGTAGGATAACAAAGACAAATGTTTTAACAAAACGTCTTCCTGTTATCTACATCAAATCTTGCTCTTTCTATCAGTTTATACCAGGGTTCTGCAACCACATGCGGCTCTTTGGACCTTGTTAATTGAATCATATAAGAGGCTTAAAAAGGATATAAAGAGCTAACCAGTGGCGGCTGGCCAATAGAGGGTGCTAGGGTGCCGCCCCACCAGCTCAATGACCTTGATTAAGACGAAATAAAATTAAATTATAAATTTAAAATATTTCAAATCTATTGATATATATGTGTTAGATGTGCAAGATAAATATTTAATCTTTAATGATAAGTAAAGCATCATTTCATTTTTCATTGGATTGTTGACGTATTTCCGCCCTGGGGTGCAAAAATGTTTGCCCATTGACTCTGGTTAAAGGTTGTACATGTGTACTAGCTCCTCTGCTATATAAAGGTTTTAGCCAAACATCAAAATGAATCATCAGTCCAAAAACAGATGGAGACGGTAAACTCAGGATCTGGTTTAGCTACAAAGCTTAGCTAACTGCATGCAGCAAGGCTAAGGCTTTATTCTGCTGCTGTGATTGCCTGCCGCCTTTTTCAAACGTCAGGAACTGACCCAGCATGGATAAAGACAGGACTTTTAAGAAAAGGCAAAGAAGCATGAACAATCTGGGATTCACGTGGGAAATTATATATATATTATAAAGTGTACTATTTCTAGATGTTTGCTAATTTCACAGTTGCTCTTAAATAAACACTCTCAGAAAAGAAATAGTTTTTATGTATTAAAAAATATAAAGCTGACTAATAGCTTTTCCATTATTTAACTGGCTCATTATTTTTTGGGGGGGGTTTGTGTATTTTTTTGTTTTGGTTTGTGACAAAATATTGGACCATGCAAAACACAGATTTACTTTCACAAAGCCTCAGAAGGGCAAGATTTATGTACGAAAATTAAACATGAGATTATGTTTTGTTTTTATAAAGTGATTTTATAATGTTTTTTATTGTTGGCATTTATATAAATATACTGTTGTGAAAACTTAATATACCTTTTTATTGGTGTATATGTCTGTTTTGAATATATAGCCTCCACTGGAGAAAACTCCACCGGCCACCACTGGAACGAACTAATATACCGTACTTTAATAACAACCACCGCTCTTAGGAGGTTTAGTGGTTTTGATAAAGATATTTGAACAGAATCTTTACAACAGAATTACATAGAAACAATCAATAATGTTTTTAGAGCCATTTTTCTTTTACCGGTAATTAGCTTGGAAATTATGTGTTTTAACATTATTTTAAAAGCTAAAAATACCAATAAACTTTTGGTTGTTAAAGATGGCAACAGATTCCCTAAAAGACATATTTAATAAAAAAAAATAGATTTTGTTTGATGAAAGACTCATGTAATACCCTGTGGCTCTAAATGACTTTTACCTTGTCAGATATGGAGAGAAATTGCTCTTTAGATGAAAAAGGTTGCAGAACCCTGGCCTAGATAAAGTGCAGACACGTCTTCGCTAATTTCCTTTCAGATGGCTTTTTGCATTTCTCTGATTGTGCTGATGCACTTAAGCTGAAAATAACTAAATTTGGGTCTTTATCATTCAGTAACAGTCTTCATATTGAAGTGTTTTCATTGCAGTCTGGAAGTCCCAAGTAGGGTGGGTTCACCGATAGCAACAGAGTGAATTTTCGGGTTCTTCCTCACTCCCTTTTCTTTCAGATATTAATGGCACTGCAAAAGTGAAGTTTACATCTTGTTTCTTCTCTTTTTTTAGTATAACCAGTTTTTTTGTTGATGTGGAGCTTCTAGATTTTATTCAAATATTCACCTACACTTACCACGAAACAACTTTGAAGCATCCAATTGTTGTACAGAGCTACAAACCAGTGGTTTAGACTTATTTTTTATGGCTGCACAAAGACAAACGGAGAATTGACAGCACTCCACCACATCTTTGTTTTCTTCTTTCTTTTTTACATCTTTACCACTACAAAGATTACCTTCTTCATCTTTTAAGTCGGGAAAATGTATGCAATGCTGCTTGTCTGGGTTTTATTTATTTTGTATGTTACAAAACACTTTTGCTATTATTCTTTCGGGGAGTTCGAAGTTGAAATAGCAAACAATTGTCTTTGTAGTTACTCTTAAGAGGAAAAAAATCTAGAAAACCACAGCAAGAAAACAACAGCAGGGTCATAGAGCTACATTTATCCTTTAGTGTATACTGTGGTGTTAATGTGTGGCTTCTGTAACTCTTTAACACATTTATATAAACAAAGAATGTTGTTTTTCTTAAACATATGAACAATGAGCTGTGCTGTTGATGGTGTATTTTGAGACAGCTGTTGTCCTGTCATGTGGCTGCTTTGGTCACAGAGTAACAAGTTGTAAACAGGTTTGCATGTCTTCTTGCTTTTTCTTTAAACGTCTTTTCATACAGCGGTTTTCTTAAACAGAAACCTCTAGAAGGAAATTAAATAAGATTTGATTTAAATATGACCCAGAAGGCGTACTTGACCATATTTTACACCTTTTTCTTTTAAATCTTGAAATCTTAACTACCGTAATGATTGTTATATTCATTTATGTCTGCTATCTTAAAAGCTAATGAGAAAATTCATGTTAGCCAAACAAATGGTCTAATGTTTTAAAAAAAGAGCATCAAACTGAGCAGAATTCAATTTTCTAGCTATGAAAATGTCAAAAATATATATTCTGGAGATATTTTCAAGCATGCTATTCAAATGTATTAATTTTGCCAACACTTAATTTTATTATGTAATTTGTAAAAAAAAAAAAAAAAAGAAAAGTCTCTTTAGAGTAATTTACATGGAAGCTGGTGAATGCCACAATACAATAAATAAAAAAACATATGGAACAATTATTCAGATATTTCATTAATTTATTAAAACAGAAAATTAATACATGTTTTTAATATAAGTATATAATTAATTATTTGGTTCTCAATTAAATACATTTGTTTTATTTATATATTATGTTACGTTCCTGTTCTGAGGCACACAAAAAAATGAATACATTTAACTGAGGATGCATTTGACTATGCATTTCCAGTTGTAATAGATAATAAAAAATGTAAGTAATTATTTCATAACTTATTCATTTATTGTATTGTGGCTAGTCACCCCCACATAATTATGAAGGTTACAATTTTGTGATCAAAGCCATTTTCAGAGTTAAACTGGACTAAATCAAGACGTATTGTGGACCTGCTGTCTGTTATAATAACTCAATGCAAACATTTTCTGCTATTATTTTCAAGAGAAACAGCCCGCAAATTGGCTTTTAGATGAGCCTGATTAGATTTTTATACATGCTAATCTCATTTTTCAGATGTAAAGTTTCCCCGTTATCTACAGTGGATATGTGTGTAAAAACAGTATCTTTATTCCTCACCTGCTTTGTTATCACCACAGATTCAGATTTCAGACTAATAATATAAGATGAGGTAAAACCCTCCAGTAGGTAAAATTTATGCCACATCATAAGAGTTGTCATAAATGTTGTATGCAAGTAAGACTGGGCCATATTTGCATTATAACCCCCAGCCTCAGTCTTTGGTTGGATTAACTCGTTAATGGACCGTGCATGTTATGCATCTAAAGTTTAAACTGTCTTTATTTGACACTCTCATAAACTCACGCAGTCAGTTAACTGTGCTCTGGGGGGATTTTCAGCTGTGGATTTGGCGTGAAAGCTGTTTCCCACTGGCATGCAAACATCAAAAGGAAAACATTTAGTTTGTCACCATAAGTTGATCATGACTCAGACGGGGACCTCCTATCCGACAGTTTAAATGAGACCTTTTTTTAACCTCATTTTCGGAAGATGAAGGGAAGAGGATGGACTCAGAGGCGTACACTTGGATGCATAATGACCCCCTGAGAGTATTGCCATGTGTAGTTGGCCTTGTCTGTTGCAGTCCCGATGTGGTGACAGTTGCCCTCGGGGTGCTCTGGGGATTAGTCTGAGCCCAACCAAAACGCACCAGTCAACTCCTGCATCTGGGTGAATTATGTGGGACCAGTTCAATGGCCTGACTCAAAAATGGCGTCAGTGTTAGCCTTTCGTGTCGAGATAAAGGAAGGAGGATGACAGTAATTAATGGCACAGGGCGAGTCAGTCACCTTTGATCTCTAAATGGAAGTATAGCTCATGCCTTCCAAGCTGTGTTTGTGACTTCCTTACAACTTTTCATTCAGTTCAAACTGAAAAAAAGAAAAAAACAGTGTCCTCCTAGGTACAAATACTGTCTAAATACTGTGTAAAAATCTATAAGGAATCTACTTACTCGTTGCAAGTTACTGGGTCATACCCCTCGATGTATATACTGAAAAAAAAAGAATATCTAATAATATCTAATCTTCATTAAACTAACAATGAAACCGGTAGATCTTGTTTTTGTTTACATCCACTGATGTATTGTTTTCAATTATGTACTCTGTTTTGTTTTTGTGTTTTTTTGTATACATGTTTCTATTTTTATTAAGTTGATCATCTTTTCTGCGTGTAACTCTTTATTTTTTTTTATTTTTTTTTATTTTTTTTTTTTATTTATTTATTTATTTTTTTTTTATTATGAATACCTGTTATGCAGACAGATGGCTGCCTTGGGACATGTAGCACCAAAACTGGAAATCACTGTAGAATATTGAGCTGATTTAGATCATTATCTGACATGTTTTGCTGTTAAAATGTTGCTTTTTTTCCCTCCTTTTGAAATAACACACTTTTCCCATACTTCCCTTTTTTAACATATAAATCAAATGGCTAAATTCCACCTTTAGTTTTTAATTTGCGGACACACACAATAGTTGTAAATATATATATATATATATATATATATATATATATATATAT